ATGAAAATTACTCTGAATTAAAAACACTGATCATTTATTGAACAGGATGGAATCATTTCAGATTTAAAGAACTTTCAGAAGTTTGAATTATAAATATATAAAATATAACCAGACTTTTCCTTTAAATACCAACAGGCCATTATGGAAATGAGCTTAAATGTAAAAAAAAAACAAGCTGTCTAAAAAATAATTACTGCAGTAAAGTATAGATTGCCAAAATTTCTAATTTGTTACTTGACACCTCTGCTAATTATTCAGTCAAAACTCAGGCAGGTACCCCTGAACCCAGGAAACGGTGCAGAAGGTCCGTCTAGACCTGAAGCTGTAAAAACACACAGTCCTCACCGACAGAAGGTCCATCAGAGCTCAGGAGAAGCTGCTGCTGCAGAGAAACGTTTACTTTCTGATGGTGTGAGACCAGTTAGAGCTTTTAAGACTGTTGTTTAATCTAGCCGGGCACACACTGTACGATTTTTATACATTTTTTTGCCCTCTGTGGGATGATTCTCTAGTCGTGCAAGAATTTTTCGATGGGGTCGACTCTCAGCCTGATGGTGCGTGGTGTAGTGACCAGGGGGTAACGAGGGGCGATCAGCCTCTAACGACCACCTCTCCATCAGGAATCGTAACGTCTGGAGAAAATTTAAACATGTTTGAAATTCAGTCGGCCGTCATAAGGTGGTCGTGGGCAAATCGCTCAGTGGGAAAAAAACGATTCTTCTTCTATTTCTAAGAGGCATGGCGGGGGTGCTATGAGTGAAATGGAGTTCTTTCTGTCAAACTGACAGACCGTAGTAGCCACGTTAGCTCAGCCATGTCTTTGTCCAAATACGTCGTCTCCTTTTCTTTTTAGGGCTTTTAGCACTAAATTGCCCAAATATCCAAGGCAGCGCGTTTCACTCTAGTGAGCTTCATGTTCCTCTGCTACTGGTTTGGCTTCCAGATAGACGAGTCCGAGTAGCGCCATCTCACTGCGGAGCTGAGTCCCACCTGGTTTTTAGACGTACAGTCTGAGCAGGTAGATCGCATCAGTGCGTTGGGTCGCACAGCGTGAGAACAAACATCGTGAGCTGGGAACTTTTAAACCTGCAGTTTCATCCCACAGTGTGAGCTGTAGCTGCGTTCAACGATTGGAAAAAATCGTACAGTGTATTAGGGACGCACGATATAATCGGCCCCCTATCGGTATCGGCCTTAAAACTGAATATTGGACATCGGCCACCCCACCGATATTTAACCCGATATTTGATCAGCTTCTGAGTTTTTTTCTAAAAAAAAGTCTAAAAAAAAAATANATCTGTCATTTGTGTGTCTTTAGCTTTCTTCAAAATGTGAAACATTAGTGCAGTGGTTTATGTTAAAATAAACCTTTGGGTTAAGTTGTCGCAAGCAGGTTTTTCTTGTGTTTCTTGTGAATTTGGTCTTAAATTTTTATTTCAAGTTGCATTAAAAAGTCTTGAATTTAACTTGGAATGCGTACGTTGATCAGAGAAACTCCAGCAGGAATCTGAAAAGCTTCTGAGTTTGATGCATCTCTGCTTGCAGGCTACTTCTACTCGCAGGATGTGAGTCAGATCTGGCGGGTGGCCGAGGCGCTGGAGGTGGGGATGGTCGGGGTCAACGAGGGCCTCCTGTCCACCCCTGAGGCCTCCTTCGGCGGGGTCAAACAGTCCGGTTTGGGCCGCGAGGGTTCCAAGTACGGCATCGACGAGTACTTGGAGGTGAAGTACATGTGCTTCGGAGGACTCAAACCCTGAACCGGGACGGTGCCGATCAGCTGGTACCGTAAGCGGGTCAGAGACGGTGGTTTGGACCAGCCTAACTTTGAGTGTTGGAGATCAGATGATTCAATGCTGCTAATTAACGTGTCAAAGGAAATTAACCGCTGGTTGATCAGAACAGAACCTGGTTCTGTTTGGTGACATTAACATTTTCTAATCTGAGACGAGGCTGTTTGCACTGATTAGCTGGGAATAAAATTAACCTAAAACCTCCAGATTACAGCATCATCAGCAGAAAACACTGCTGGTTCTAATCTGACCCAGAAACTCTAAAAGAACCCGATGTTTTGTTCTGCAGCAGCCGGACGGCGCTGACCTGCAGGGGGAAATAGAAAAACTAGAACTAACCAATCTGCAACAGCGACCGCCTTTTATAGCTGATGGTCTCTGCTGAGTCGGTGGAACCGTCACAGTTCTACCATTACGGGCCTCCATGTTCCGACACCAACGTCATTCTGGACTTCAACTGGCCGTTAGGCTGAAGCTCGCCTCTCATGTGCTGAACCCATAAAACTGGATCAGAATCCCTTCAAAGTCAAGAAACTTTCTGGTTCCATCATAACTATCCCGGTTTCTGGTTCCACGAGTGGAAACGGACCCAGAGTCTCTACAGGAACATCAAATGATCACTATTATTAACGGACAAAGGTCCGTTCCTTCATAAACAGCCAAACCTGAAGGATTTAGGCAGAAAGGAAAACACTGAAACAGCAGAAGCTTCCTTAAATTTTGAGCCGTCTGTGTTCTCCCTTCCCATAAGTACGGTGGCCCTGAAGTGC